TCTCCGTGACTTAAGTACAGTTGGGCCCAAAAGGTTTCTAAGTAAGGGTGCGTGGGTGTTTTCTTGCTAAAAGGAAGAAATTTCCTCATGAGCATAATGTAAATCTTGTGTTAGAGCCCCGAACATAACTCACAGGCCGAAACACGAGGCAATAAAACATTTTCCGTTTTCCACCTAATGACACGCCTCCCGCTCGACCGCCCACTCACGAAGGAGTGCAAAGGAGTGAAAATGGGGAAATGCTCGGGGTTCATAAATTCAATTCACTTCGACCACCAGCTGCAGTTGATTTTCAGTTTCGAGTTTCGAGTGATTTTCTTAATGTAGTTCAAAGGAAAATTCCGAGCATGTAGTGCAAAGGGTTTCCCCGCTTTTCTTAAGTGCTGTGTGAGATCTAATAAATTTTCACTACGCCAAGGAGTCAGGGTCTCCCATTTCGGTGGGCGTTGCGAATTTTTGAATAATATTTCACCCACAGGTGGGTTATGCATCATGTGTGTGTGCGTAATTGTCTGAAAAATTACCATGTCTACATGACACGCACACACGCACGCGCCGCCATTAAATCACATTTTCCCAGGACGGATGGAAAGTGGGAAATGGGAAGAAGAGCTCGCAAAAGTGGGTTGCTGGCCTTTGATCCTTGGCGTGTGGGGGAACTACCACTTAGGCTAATCAATCTTTCTTGAATAATCAATAATCAAGAATCAATCTTAAATACTTCTAGTAGTATGTTTTAATTAGGTTGAAAGATTAGGCAATCAAATAAAAGTATGAATACGTTTATATGACCTATGACCTTCATTTGCGGAAACTGCTTTTTGAATATTCCACGCACCCAAAACCCATTTGCAATTTCCGAACTGAAATACACAATCCAACCTGCTAACACAATTTTTCAGTTCGGTATCCGCTCACCGATTTTGTGCAGTTGTCAGCCGAAAGTCGAGGCAAATCTGTGTGTTTATTTTATGTTTGATTGAAACCCTGATTAATTTCAGCAGTCAGGCACGCCGCCCACTCCACAGTCGCTATCCAAAGTGCTGTTTTCAACACCTGGGCACATTCGCTTTCGGCTCTCATTTGTAATGAGTGCTGGGCACACGTACGGCGCATTGGTTACACGGCAGCAGACACGGTTACGGACACGGACCCGGAAACGGATGTAAATGGGTGGTCGGAGGTGGCTGGAGCAGCAGGTGGGAATTGGGGACATCCCCCACGTATCAGGGACAATCTGTCATAAGCTAAGTTAGAGTAAACGCAGCGGGTATATACTAAAAACTGACGAAAATAGCTTTAACTTTTTTATAAGTACAAAAAATGTATACTAAAGTTAATCACAAATGTCTAGGATCTTATAGTGAATAGTTTAGCCATTTAATGATATTTATCTGATTTGATAAACCATTTGAGTGTTTATCAAATTAGAGTATTTAGGTTTTCGCTATGTTGTTTTTCTCCCTGTTGTCTTCTCATGATTATCACTTTGCACGTCCTCTATGTTTTATAGTTACGTTGCCCATCTGGCCCATCTGCTCCTGTTTATAAGCTTTGCGTGATCACATTTGGTCCTGGTCCTGGTCCTCTTGTGAAACACTCCTTGGATCTGACTCGAGGTGGCTCATAATGTGTGGCGACATGGCCGTTACTCTCGTGGCTGAAGGGCCGTAGGAAAGCAGCTAATGCCGAGATCTAATTGCTAGAATCAGTGTACAACTCACCCTATCCCGTGTCCTTCTGCCCACTTTATCTTCCGTCTTCTGTCGCTGCTGTTATTATCCCTGAAAGCTGGCAACACATTGCAAAGGCCATAACCAAGTTAAAAGCTGCTAAAATAGACACCTGGGACAGGAGCAAGGCAAGGAGTTTGCCAGGTGCAGCTGCAGATATCCTGGCACTCGGGCTAAGTAAGTGCACCTTATCCCAACTCAGTTCTCAGTTCTCAGCACTCAGCTCTCAGTTCTTTGGCCAGGATCCCAGCTCCCAGCTCCTCCGTGCAGCTCCTTCGGGGGCCAATCCAGTGCCACAGAATTTATTGACTTTGTCGCTGTCGTGTCCTCAGCATTTTCTCCTCCTTTTTGGACCCACTATAATAGCTGAACTTAGGACTATTTCAAGCAGTCGAGCTGTACACTTAAAACAAAATGTCGAAGTCTTATTTAGTAACAAAAATAATTCAGAAATTACTATCATGCAAACCACAATGGTTATACAAATATCATTTTAGTTTGGTTTAAGTTTCAAATCTTTTCTTAAACCTTACGATTTTTTAACAACGAACAGATTAAATGTTTATTTTAGTGCAACGTCAGAGCTTTTGGTCCGAGTCAAGGACAGGTAGATGTTCTCGGTAATTTTGCACCTGGCTAAATTAAGGGGGGCTTCTCATGTAAAATTTAAAAAAAATCGAAATTTTTTTTTTTTCATAAATCGATAGAATAACGTCTTGAGAGTATATTCCCGAAGTTTTATAACTCAACTCTCAATATTATGGAAAATATCAGTGATTGAACGAGCGCGCTCAAGTTCAAGACCCACACTAACTCAAAACTTTAAATCGTTTTTTCTCAAAACTATGTTTTAAAAAACGCGGTACACGATTACGGAAAAACTACTGAACCGATTTTTGATTTCTAAAAAGTGTTTTGCAGATTATACATTGAACGAGTGCGTGAATATCTGAAATTGTGAAAAAAAGTTATTTTATAAAATTTTCAGCCCAATTCAGCAAAAAAAAAGACGAAAAAATGGCACTTTTTTTCAAGACGTGATTTCAATCTTTTAAAATCGAATTTTTTGAAGTGGCTGACATTCACGCACTCGTTTGAACCTTGCTGCATACAAAAAAATTTTTTTGTTTTTTTCAGATGAAAACTTTTTGCTCCACACTGTACCGCAATAAGTCCCTCAGCCGCGTCGAGCCACACGCGACCTTGAATAAGTCCGCCATTTTGTTTTTTAGAATTTTCAAACAATGTTTTTCTCATACTTTAAACATGTCTTCAAATATGTGCAAAAAATTATTCGTGTAAGTTTTCATTTTCCAAATGAAAAAAATTCCCAAAAAACCACTACTTTTTGGCATGTTACATGAGAAGCCCCCCTTAAAACTGAAGTCCAGGCTATAAATTCAGCAGTGTTCGCCACGAACACACCCAATCACAGATCATGATGATGCCGTTGGCAAAACTCCATCTCAATCTCTATATAGAACGGGCGTCCTGTGATGTCCTGATGGCGTGTTTTGCCTCCTGTTTGCCCTGTTTGACTTCAACAACCCGGGGGCTTGCTTTGTTGTTTATGAGCTCGTGTAATCACTTTGGCCATGGTCCACTTGATGGCCATCAACTGCGACTGCATTTTCTGCAGTTTATGCTCTTCATAAGGAGGGTGAACAGTGGACCATCCCGGGAAAGCCAGGAGTCAGCTTTATAATAAGGCAAATGGCAAAACTGTATGTTTTTCTTAGTTCTGTTGATATTAATATTGGTTGGGTTGGTGTGGGTTGCCAGGGTTTTGTGGCAGAAATTTTTATTAAGGCTTTTAGTGCCGTATTGGATTGTTATCTTCGATTTTGCTTTCCCAGCTCTATCTATGAATCCTGAACCTGTTTCCGTGTGGAGTCCTTAGGTCCTTAAAGTGGTCCCGTTTCCCTTCTTTTCGTTAACTCGATGACCCTTTGATTGCAGCAGCATTTCCACCTGGGGAAATGGGGAAAGTGGTGGGTCACAGACTTTTGGATGAACCGAACCGACACCAACTGGACACCAAACACTCGCCTAGAAGGACACAAACACACGTGTGTAAGCCAAGCGTTCACAGGAATCCTGTGAATTTTTGTGAATTGAAATTTTTGAAATTTCCCGTCACAGTCTGCACTCTGCAGCCGGCCAGACACATCGGAATCCCGTTAATTGCTCCAAGAGGAAGTAGAGTGGGGCGGACCCGCCCCCTTTTTGCACCTTCACCCTGAAAAAGCCTACAAGAGTTTTAAAGGGATGCTCATTTTCATTTTTCACATCACCGGATTATTATCAAAGTGTTCATATAATTTTCACTCAGTTGAAACTCAATTGTATTCAAGTAGAGAATAACACTCAGATCTTCAGTAAGTCAAAAAAAGTAACATAATAATTAGCTAACTCTTTTTTTATTGATAGAAAGGAAAATATTTTTATTAGTTATTTTTAATTTATTTAAATTTGAGTGAGTGAGGGTATAAATCAAATACGATTCGGCTAGCTACGCTAGTTGCGACTGTCACCTGGGAAATATTTAATTTTGTTGCTATTTTTATATATGTACATATTTATTTCCCTTTTTCGCCTTCTTTTTTAATTTGAAATTTTTTTTTATGTTCTAAAAATCATGCTCGTAAAAAACAACATTTTTTTGACAGACAGAAGGACAGACGTATTTAGGTTCAGATCGTAATGCTGCTCAAGAATATATATGTATACTTTATGGGGTCTGAGGTCTCCTGCACTGCGTTGCAAACTTCTGACTGAAATTATATTACCCTCTGCAAGAGTATTAAAATGGTTTGTTCCGTGATTACTTGAAGCAATAGAAAAAAAGTTATTTATTAACCATTACTAGCTGCTGCGTATTAGATTTTTAATCCGTCTGATATACATACATAAGTACATATTTATGTATAAACACAAAAGTTTTATTGAGTTTGATATTCAAACTAGACCAGCTCTCAATTAAAACGTTTTTGCTTGCAAGTTCCACATAGTGGAGAGAACATCTGAGTTAACAGCTGTTAGTTATTTCACTCTCTTCTTGCGCATTCAATTTGTATTCCTGTTAACTCTCCCACAAATGCACTCGGGCGCTCTCTTGCTGTTAACAGAGTCGCTCACTGTTAGGTAACGTCGCTGTAAAATAGCCAAAACATTCTGCCTGTCTCCCTCCGTCGCGCCAACAAGCATAGGCTCTGCCGCTGCGCTGCAAATTTTTGTAAACGTTCAATTCTGTTAATCATTTTCTGTTAAGAGTTTCTGTTAACCAGCTAGGGCACGCACCCGGGTCAGTGAAAAAACATCAGTGCTTTCCAAAGTACTTTGTGAAACTCTAGGAGACAAAACGCAAAACAATTGAAATTGAAAGGAAAAAGAAGCGATGATAGCCAGCCGACAGCAATATGTGTAAATTCAAGCCTCTCTGCGACGGTGAGAGCTCCCGCGAGGAGTGGCGCTTGAACAACCAGCTTAAACCCGCCACGGTTATCGTTTATCTGTGTCTCTTTCTTCGTCGTCGCGACAGGTTCGTTCCGCGTTTTCGGATTCGGCAATCTTACGTTTTTCGAATTTAAACAAATAATAAATAAATATTGTTGGTCGCGAGTGTTAGTCGCGAGTGTAAGCGTCTTTTTTTTATGTTTTTAGCGTGTGTTTTGTTGCAGTACGTAGAAACCAAGCCAAGCCTATCCCAACAGCAACAACAACAAGTGCGCGAGTTCAAAAGCAACAAACGTGTGGCGACAGCTGTTCAAGTTTCTTTTCGGCCAAAATGCAAAGTTAATGCAATGCGGGGGCGATAAAATAAAACAAACAAAAGCCAAAAGCATTTACCGTTGGGCAAAAACAACAAGTGAGCCACCGAAAGACAAAAACAAAAGCAATAACTAAGGAAAAGATAAGCAAAGAAGGCGTCGCAAAAAGAAGAAGAAGAAGAGTTTGCGCAGTCACGTGTGCAGTCGACGTCGGCTGCGGCAGAGGAAGATTCCCATGCGTAAAATTCACATTCGCCATGATGATGGAAAGCGAGACGATAATGAAGGAGAGGTTAAAGAAGGAGCGACAATCTGCAACAAAAACTAACAGCTGTTAAAGAGGGACAGGTGAGTTGTTTTGTGTTTGCTCCTGTTTTGTGCTCTTTGCATGATCCTTGATCACAGCTTCCGTCTGTCCTTTCAATTAGTATGTCAATAGGGGCAAATGAATAAATAAACGAAAATCTCTTAATTTGTCGTCGCCTAATTTTGGAAAACAAAAATAAAAAGCAAAGGAAAGCAAAACCATCAGAAAAAGAAACAGTAGCACAGACTAGGGGAAACGAATAGAAACATTAAGAACAGTATAAAAAATATTTGTTTTCAACCCATATTTCTGTTAAAGACGTCCTAAACCTTTTATTGAAACTCAGAAAATAGTAATAAGTAAGTAGCAAGGCACCGTTAAAGCTATTATTTTGTCCACAACTGTGATGGGTGTGTGGAGTGGCAGGGGAGTTGACATTTTGGGCGGTGTGGGTTGGACTTGGCGCAATATACCAAACAATTCCATTGATTTTTCTTGTGGGAATAGTTGGGAAAGCGACACTGTAGACATAGGAAACAACGGTCTGCTTTTCCTTTGCGAAAAGGAACCATCCCCACCCTTGGCACCGCTTCCGCCTCTTTTGCCCCCCCCTTCTCTACCCACCTTGCCGCCTATTCGTTGTCCGTCTTGTTTTATTTGTTGCCGCTTTCCTTTTGCGTTTGTCTGCTGTCGTTGAACTTTTTGCAACAAGCTTCGACTTCTAGTTTGCCCCCATCTACTCTCCAACCGAAATCCCCAATTTTCCCACCCCTCACCGCCGTCATCAGTTGTGTAAGTAGCATTTTTTACCTTTTGTTTTTCCCTAAAGGAATTTATGTTAATTTGGCGCTACATTTCCGGGCCTCCAAACCCTTCGTAGTTTTCCCTTACGGACTTATTTGCTTGGCTGTTGATTTGATTTTCCCTGCTCGAAGGATGTTGGTTAGGATTTCAAGTTCGGGAATATGCGGAGTATTTCAAATACCTCCTCAGTATCAATTTGATTCGCATTTTTATTTGATCGGATTGAGATGGTTCAATAATGATGTTATAAAAAATGTTTAAGTTGCAATATATTTATTTTAAATTGCCATTCGTTACGACTTTTTTCATAGCTAAACCTACAAAGGAGCTACGAAGGAGTTTTAATTTAGTTTTACATTTAAGCATTGTTTTCAATAATATTTTGCACAAGTGTCAAATTTTCACTGCACTCGTACTCGTTTTCTTGCATTTTTCGCGTCCCGAGTGACAGTAAACTTCGCTATTCAAAGTGCATTTACCATTGGAGTCTCCAGTGGGGTTTCTAAGCTTTTCCACTCCTTGCACTTTTCCATGGGTCCTGCCAACACGTGGATACGTGACTGTGTCGTTTTTCCTGCCGATTTTACCTACAATGTGTCTCTGCATTAGCCCACTTCCTCCCTCCTTGGCTGCTGTTTTTGTCACCAAGTTTTCATTTCAGTTTTATTTTTTCAAGTTGATCGCTTTGTTCTTTGCTCCCTAAAAACATTTCAGCACTTTCAGTTGCATTTTCCCATTCCTCGGTCCCAATCTGAAGTTTTCGCCAGGAAAAGGCCAAACCCGAAATTGGAAATTTGCAACGAATAATTGGTTTTCTTTTCCATTGTACTTCGGTCTGCAGTTGTTGTTGACAAAAGAAGTGTGCAAATCTTGACAGTTTTCTCACGATATGGGTTAAATTTTACACTTAAAAGGTGCAAAAAATTAAGACAGAAAAACCACATGCACTTGCATCGAAACTCAGACCGAAGGAGGTGCACTTTTTTTTGGAACCTCAGCTGAATGCAAACCCCAAATAGCAATTCCATGAACTAAGCACGCACGCCACATAAACATAACTTGGCCCGCACAAAAAAAAAAATCAAGAACTTTACCAATAACTATAGAGAAATGCTGGAAATAGTCAAAACAATGAATACGCTCAAAATGAGTTCCTATAGTAGATGGGGTTATTAGGTTTTCTTTATTGATATCATCTAGTTTTGGAAACTGTTCTCAAAACTGTTTTTTGATGTTAATATATTTAGAAAATGATTTTTTATGAAGACAAAAAACAAAGGAGTTATTTTGCATTTATTTTCTCATATGTGTAAAACTTCCAAGGAAGCAAATAATTGTTTTAAACATATTGAAGCATATGGCTACGAGCAGGGTATCAGGAACTTACTTTAGAATATGAATGGGGCGGGAGAAATCCAGCTCTAGACGATTTTATTTTTGTTTTGTGCTGCAATTTTCTTTGCTCTCGTTCTCGTTGCCTTGGCAGACGTGGCCGGAAACGTAGAAAACTTTAATAAAAACATGTCAAGAGCACTTTTCCCCATGCCCCACCGCAAAACACAACCACTGCACCAACCAGAACAAAAAAAAAAAAAAACAAGAACCCAAAACCACCTACAACCGCAGTTGGCAGTCGTTCAGTGGTTGTTTTTAGACTTGACTAAGTTTATTGCCTGCCATATGCAATTGCCGTAGATTATTTTGGGGCTCTGCCGGGGACATCACCCTCTTCTTGCGCCCATTTTGTGCAGAGATTTGCCAAGCCTCCCTCCCTGCAATCATCCCCACAAAAATAGCTAGCCAGCGAAACCGAAACCGAGACTGTCACTGTTTTTTGCACAGATAGAAAATAAAACGATTTTAGACTTCATAAGTTCATTATATTCCTTGCACATTTTCCTATTGTAGGGATGGTCTGATCAATGGAGATTAAATGTTTGACTAAATGTTTGAAAACAACTTTATCAAGGTATTAAATAGATTCGATCTTGTAGATCGCAATTTTTCTCGGTGTGCGTTTAAAATGCGAATGCCTCTGAAGCTTGCTTGGCAAACGGGGCGGATACGTGATGTTGCCTCACATGGCCAATTTTGGCCAACAGTCCCTCCATGTATAACCAGATATATAGCCAGCCGAGGCTCAAGTGCTCCACGGCACGAAACTCTTGAATTTGGAGCGATTTGCAGGGAGCTTCGGGGACTTCGCAGTGGGGATATGTTGCAGATATCGTTGGGAAACAGGGCTGTGCAGTGTTATCCAATTTGGATTTTAGTGAGCTGCTGTGGTTTTGGGTTCGAGAGCCACGGGCATACTTAAATCTTTAAGTTAATATAAATAGTTCAGGATCCAAACTTAGCCTTACCTTAGATCACTACCTGCGATTGGCTGATATTCACTTAGGGAGGTGCTATCGCTTTCAAATCGTCCTTCGTGATTAGACATTCATCGGCGTCGCCCTTTATTCTTCGATAAAGTTGACAAACTGCCTCGCTGTGTCCTTAGGGCTTCCAACTGCGATTACCCGTCACACAGACTTGCCACGCCCCCAAAGACCCAGTCCGGCTCCTTCAGGAAAAAGCCACGACAGGCCATGACTTTCTTGCTGCGGGCAGAGCGAAGCCAGTTTTCCAAAAACTGCTGCACATTAAATTAATTATTTATACAAGAAAGGTAAACGTGCCAGCAGGCTTAGGGGTATATAGACAGACACGGATACGGATACGGATACAAATGTGAATACGTATACGTATACGTTCATGTTTACGGCGATACCAGACCCTTAACCGTCGCAAACATTTTACGATACATCCTCGCTGTCTACGCCGACATCGTTTTTTGCATAATTGATTAAATGATTGGCTATATAGCTTGGAAGGTGGAACATGAGGGGGGATTCCGGGGGCGGACTCTGGAAGGCGGTAGTGTAAATGAGAATTTACGGCGGAAAGAAATCAAGCATTTGCCAAGAGGACGAAGGATACGGCCAAAGAGGAGCTCCTCGGATGTTGCATGATAGTTATGGTGTTGGTAAATGTTGTGATTATTGGCCAAATGAAAAATACAGGCAATCTTCCTGCCAATTGGGTACAAAAAACATTGTTTGCTATTATCATCATCATCATCATCATCATCATTATTATTATCAGTGTGTGAGTTTGTGCTCTTCTTTTTATTTTATTTACCTGGTGAACCTGACATTGGAATCAATGGAAATACCAAAGGGGGCACCATATCCTGTTTACTTTGCAACGTGTTTTATGAGCAAATCGATGAAACTATATTACTTTAACCCAGTTTATATTTAACTAAGGTTAGTTTTGAGACAGTTATAAGCACGTAAACAGTTCTGCGTATTTCCTTCACAATTGTTAATTTCCAAACCTTTGGAGTTCATTGGCACCTATGGAAAATTTCGCAGACCTTTTTCTTATATTCACGGGTCATTTTTCTTGTGAAGCACTTTGTTTGTTTGTTTCCATTGATGGCCCCGATTTGGCCCATTTGAACTTTGAACCTTTTGCCAGAGACAAAACCACCCTCCTGTGTTTTCCCTGCCATTTCCATCAACTTGGCCGCCTGTGCCAACATTGCACCCCAGCGGCAAATGGCCTCCCTATCCACCCGTTTTTCGCCCATTTTCTTCCCCCCATTTTCCAGCCATATGCTAATGGCTCATGTGCTGGCATGTGCATATATTTGTGTGTGCTAAGTGTATATCCTTTTGGCGAAGCGAGTGCATTTTCTTGTCAACGCTGACATTTCCTGCACTTCGGCCTTGTTTTTCCAACCTCTGCCTCCTCTTCCGCCCCCCCACACCATTTTTCTCTTGTCATTTTTCGTTTAATGAGCATTTCCCTTTTGTTTTCCGTGATGATAAAAGCCAGGAATTATGATTGCTCCACATTAAAGGGTTGTCAGTTACATTTTCACGCCACCTATTGACATCCTTTGCAGAGAACAAAATTTAACATCCATGTTTTTATTGTAAGTTACAGGAATCCAGAGAATACTAAAGTGTCATATCAATAGTATAAAAAATAAACAAGAATGAATTTTAAAATAAAAAATTGTCCTTTTTTATAAGCAAGCGATCATTTATATTGGTTTGTTTGTAGCTATTATCACAAGGATAAAAAATGTATGGACTTTTGACTCTGCCAAATGTTGTATCTATAATCAATAACTAATCAAAAGTTCGTGCTTCCACACTACGGGGAAAAACAAGGTCAGGGTCGT